AGCTTTTACCTATTGGTTTATATATTTGGTTTAGTTACCTAGCATATTTTTGTCTGATTGCCTATCATGGTTACTTAGCATGAATTTGGAAAATAACATACATGATTTTAGTATCTCAGTATGCTAATGAAGGTTACTTGTTACTAATCAGTAAAATACAATGGACACCAAAAAATTAAAATTGGAACACATGACGTACCAAGGTACGTCCCTTAGAGTGACATTGGACATAAATTCATAAACCAGCATCTGCAGTCACGAAGAAACAATTCATATGGTATAAATGCAACACAGTCGAAGAAAGAAACAAGAGAGTGAGTTTATTACATTACACTAAATTTGCAAGAAGATAAAAAGAAAGTATTTAATATTTATATACAAACCAAAACATTTGATGAAATTTCTGAATTTTGAAATGAAGTGTACCTGTTCACCTTCTTTATCACAGTATCCAATCAAAGACACAAGGTTGCGATGATGTATCATTGATAGTATTTGTTGAAATAAAAACATTAAATGGGTTAGAAATAAATAATTGGGAATTAACTATGGAAGTAGGAAAGGCAATCGTTTTCTTAGTAGTTATGTAGCAATTATGTTTAATTTAATTTACTGTTTTAGAATTGTAATAGTTTTTTGTTTTGAGTCTACAAAAGACCAAGAGTGTGTAATTTTTCAACAAGAGCAATATACAAGAAGTTAGAAAGTACACAAAGTCTGATTCATATTTATCAAATTGGTATCAAAGCTAATGGCGAATATGATGAACCAAATGCCGTTACCACGGCTAACGAAGTCCAACTATGAAAACTGGAGCATCCAAATGAAAGCTCTTCTTGGATCTCTAGATGCGTGGGAAGTGACCAATGATGGGTTTGAAGAACCAACAGAAGTTGGAGGATATACAGCAGCCCAAACGAAGGCGTTGAAGGAGTTGCGAGCGAAGGACAAAACAGCACTATATATGTTGTTCCGGACTGTGGATGAATCAGGCTTTGAGAAGATTGCTAGTTCGACTACGTCGAAACAAGCGTGGGACACACTAGAGAGGGTGTTCAAAGGAGCAGACAGAGTGAAGCAGGTTCGACTCCAAACGCTTCGTGGCGAATTGGAGAGGATACAAATGAAGGATACAGAAAATGTATCAGATTACATCACCCGTGTGCAGAAAGTGGTAAATCAACTCACAAGAAATGGAGAAACAGTGGCTGATGCAAGAGTTGTTGAAAAGATCTTAAGATCTTTAACAGACAAATTCGAAAATCTGGTGTGTGCTATAGAAGAATCGAAGGATCTTTCGACGCTCTCAATCGAAGAGCTCACTGGTTCGCTCGAAGCACATGAACAAAGAAAGATGAAGAAGAAAGAAGAGGCAGACGAAGAAGCAAACCAAACAAAAGAATCGAAAGATGAAAAAGTACTTTTCTCGAACAACTTTCGAGGAAGAGGACGTGGACGTGGAGGACGTGACAGTGGTCGAAGTGGTAGAGGCAGTAACTTCGAAAGAGGAAATTCGAGCCAACAAAACTGGCGTGGCAGAGGACGTGGCCAAAGAGGTGGTCGTTCGAATTACTCAAATTTCGAATGCTACAAGTGTGGCAAGTATGGCCATTACGCGAAGGATTGCAATTCCTACAAATGTTACAACTGTGACAAAGTAGGACATCTTGCAAAAGACTGTCGAAATGAAAAGAAAACTGAAGAGACAACAAATCTGGCCCTGGAAGCAGAATCGAATGAAGGGTTCCTCCTGATGGCCCAAAACGAAATCAACACCAATGACAGTATTTGGTATCTTGACTCAGGAGCAAGTAATCACATGTGTGGTTACAAACACCTGTTTAAAGATATGAAGGGAGTTGAAGATGGCAGCGTGTCTTTTGGAGATGCATCGAAGGTGAAAGTTGAAGGAAAGGGCACAATCAGCTATTTGCAAAAGGATGGCTTGATTGGGTCAATCGAAGATGTCTACTATGTACCAGATCTTAAGACCAACATATTAAGTCTGGGACAGCTCACTGAAAAGGGTGCTTCGATCCTGATGAAAGATCGAACACTGCAGTTGAAGGATAAAGCAGGATATCTGATTGCTGCTGTCGAAATGGAGAGAAATCGAATGTACAAACTTAATTTGAGGAACATTCGAGAGAAATGTCTGCAGATCGAAGTACAAGACAAAGCGTCATTGTGGCACATGCGCTTTGGTCACCTACATCATGCTGGTCTGAAAAGGTTGGCGAAGAAGAACATGGTGCATGGATTGCCAAACATGGAGTTCGAAGGAAAATTCTGTGAAGAATGCGTGCTCAGCAAACAAACCAGAACATCATTTCAGAAGAAGGCAGAGTATCAAGCCAAACAGATACTCGAATTGATACACACTGATATCTGTGGGCCAATTACCCCAGAATCATTCAGTGGAAAAAGATACTTCATCTCCTTCATCGATGACTACTCAAGAAAAACCTGGGTCTATTTTCTGAAAGAAAAATCTGAAGCACTCGAAGTATTCAAGAAGTTCAAAGTGATGGTGGAAAAGGCAACAGATCGAAACATCAAAGCAATTCGATCAGACAGAGGAGGAGAGTATACTTCGATTGCCTTTGTAAAATACTGTGAAGAACAGGGGATAAGAAGATTCCTTACAGCGCCATATTCACCTCAGCAGAATGGTGTGGCTGAAAGGAAGAATCGAACTATCTTTGACATGGTTCGATCAATGCTTAAAAGCAAGAGTATGCTGAAAGAGTTCTGGGCAGAAGCAGTACAATGTGCTGTTTACATTCAGAATAGGTGTCCACATTCGAAGCTAGAAGACAAAACACCACAAGAAGCATGGAGTGGTCAGAAGCCAACAATCTCCCATCTCAAAGTATTTGGTAGCATAGCTTATGCGCATGTACCAGACCAACGAAGAACAAAGCTCGAAGACAAAAGCCAGAAGTTCATATTTATTGGATATGATGAGAAGACGAAAGGGTACAAGCTGTTCAACCCTATAAGCAAGAAAGTAATTGTAAGCAGAGACGTTCGAATGAATGAAGCCAGCAAGTGGGACTGGAACAGTTCGACAGAGGCTGTTGATACAGTCGAAGAAACCACTATAGCTGTACCAACTAGAATTTCAGAAGAACATGAAGAAACAGAAGAAAGAGATGAACCTCTACAACCTAAGATGAGAAGTTTGCAAGATCTGTATGAGTCAACAAGTGAGGTGCATCTTGTGTGTCTCCTGGCAGATGCTGAAAACATAAGTGTTGAAGAAGCATTAAGAGATGAAAAGTGGAAAAGCGCCATGGATCAAGAAATTAAAGCAATCGAACACAACAAAACCTGGGAGCTTGTCGAATTACCAAAAGAATGTCAACCCATTGGTGTAAAGTGGGTATTTAAGAAAAAGATGAACGCTCAAGGAGAGATCGAAAGATACAAGGCACGACTGGTTGCAAAGGGATACAAGCAGAAAGCTGGTATTGACTATGACGAAGTATTCGCGCCTGTCGCAAGAATGGAGACAATTCGACTACTCATCTCTCAAGCTGCTCAGTTCAAATGGAAAATATTTCAAATGGATGTCAAGACAGCATTTTTGAATGGTGTGCTCGAAGAAGAAATCTATGTGGAACAACCACTTGGATACATGAGAGCTGGAGAAGAGAAGAAGGTGCTGAAACTGAAGAAATCATTGTATGGGCTGAAGCAAGCACCTAGGGCATGGAACACACGCATAGACACATATTTTAAGGAGAGTGGATTCGAGCAATGCCCTTATGAGCCAGCGCTCTATGTGAAGAAAAATGGAAGTGATTTATTACTTGTGGCACTGTACGTTGATGATCTCATTTTTCTAGGCAATAACATTAAGATGATCGAAGACTTCAAAAACACCATGACAAGAGAATTCGAAATGACAGACTTAGGTCTGATGAGATTTTTCCTTGGCCTGGAAGTTCGACAGGAAGAAGATGGGATTTTCATATCACAAGAAAAGTATGCAAAGGAAATCCTAGAAAAGTATAAAATGAAGAATTGTAATCCAATTTCGACGCCAATGGAGCCAGGCACAAAGCTGTCGAAGTTTGATGGAGGAGAACGGGTCGAAGGAAGCAAATATCGAAGCTTGGTAGGCAGCCTTCGATATCTCACATGCACAAGGCCAGATATTTCACTTAGTGTTGGCATAGTGAGCAGATTCATGGAGGAGCCAGTTCACACACACTGGAAAGCACTGAAACGAATTCTGAGATACATCCAAGGAACAGTATCACTTGGGATATTTTATTCAAAGACTGAAGACTACAAGCTAGTTGGATATTCTGACAGTGACTGGTGTGGAGACATTGATGATCGAAAGAGCACTGCAGGATACGTGTTTTTCATGGGAAACACAGCTTTCACTTGGCTATCGAAGAAGCAGCCAATAGTGACACTTTCAACGTGTGAAGCAGAATACGTGGCAGCATCTTGGTGCGTTTGCCATGCAGTGTGGCTCAGAAGATTGATAAGTAAGATGGAGCTGAAACTGGAAGGTCCAACAATAATACACGTGGACAACAAATCAGCTATTGAGCTGGCAAAGAACCCAGTCAATCATGAACGAAGCAAGCATATAGACGTTCGATTTCACTTCATACGTGAACATGTGAAAGAAGGAAGCGTGGAACTAAGGCATGTGGCAAGCAGAGATCAAGCAGCTGACATCCTTACAAAACCACTTGCAAGAGAAGTATTCGAAAGAGGCAGGAAGATGATTGGGATGCTGGATCGAAGAAGCATTTAATGTTTAAGGAGGAGTTTTGTTGAAATAAAAACATTAAATGGGTTAGAAATAAATAATTGGGAATTAACTATGGAAGTAGGAAAGGCAATCGTTTTCTTAGTAGTTATGTAGCAATTATGTTTAATTTAATTTACTGTTTTAGAATTGTAATAGTTTTTTGTTTTGAGTCTACAAAAGACCAAGAGTGTGTAATTTTTCAACAAGAGCAATATACAAGAAGTTAGAAAGTACACAAAGTCTGATTCATATTTATCAGTATTCTTATTTCCGTGAGAAATTCCTTCTCACCTCGCAGTGATCCTTGTTGTGCATGTTTTATGGCAACCACAATGCCATTAGAAAGAATACCTTGATAAACCTTCCCATAACCTCCTTGTCCAATTTGAGCATTGTTGTCAAAATTTCTTGTAGCAGCAGACAACTCCTCATAAGTAAAAGCTCTTCTTCCATCAATTTGTATTGCGATCTTAGATCTTGTGAATAAAAAATCAAATCTATATTAATATACTTTAATTCTAAAACAAAAAGGTCGTGTTTGTAACGTTGAATTCATGGATTTTTTTAACATCAATATTTAGTTATGAAATATGAACAGACACATCACTAACAATAGAAGTGGTTGAATATAACCACGTGTGCCTATTGACGGAACCAAGATCTTATGTCAGCGGGTGCAAAAATTAATAAATTCGGCATTAAATAAATTAATGGTGCAAATAAGAAAAATTTAAGAATTTAAAGTGCAATTTATAGAGACAAAATCTTAGATATGAAGATGCAAAAATAAATAAATTCAAGATCAAATGAACAAATGGTGCAAATAAAAAATAAAAATTTTCAGAAAATTCAAAGTGCAATTTATATGGACATTTACTACAATATTTAAAGTTTAGGAGATTCAATTGAACCCCTCAAATGGGTTGCCTCCACCACTGCATGTGTCAATGTTATATTGGTGTCAGTGCTACATAGGTGTTTTCATTAGGAAAAAATATTAAAGAAACATAAATTGCATGTAATTATTTTAGTATCTCAGTATGCTAATGAAGGTTTGTGTGAAAACATGAAGACTACTAAAACGAAGAAGTTGATTCATAGTAAGAAGAAACTCACAATGGCGTGGTTTGGAAACTGCATCATGACGTCTTAATCTTATTCTTAATAGTAAAAGAATAAAAATTGCAGATAATGAAATTACACAGGCAATTGAGCCAAAGATTATGCCAACCAAAGCACCTATGCTTATGCCTGAATTGGAAGAGGTCTCGGTCCCTACAATAACATTATGAAGTATGAGGACAATCACATGACAGTTGCAAATATGTATTCATTAAATTTACCAAAAAGTGAGTTAATTGGTTTTGTTACACTCTATCCCTAACCCAATAGATAACCAGCGGCAATTATAAAAAAATTGCACTGTGTTCACAATTGGTGACACTCATTTCCATACCAGTTAAATCTTCAGAAGCCACGTTGCCCTTATTCTTGCCTGCTTGCCACATGACACCAAATAGGTTAAGGTCTATAAAGTACCTAAGTATATATCATGGACTCAGAAATACAAATATGAAGAAAGAAATGGAAAACACATCAAATAATCAGGTTTGAAGATTTCAACTCTTAATACTTTAAATGTGATCCAATGATTTAGCCTATGCCTGCATAGAAATCACCATCAATTTTGACAAAAAAGTAGAAGCATGGAAGGTATTATTGAAATTCTGAGTAACTAAAGAATACACCATTCAACTCTCGCAAAGCATTAGAATGTGAACTGGGATACCAATGTGAGCTTGTCTTGATCTTCAACTTCACCAAAGAGCTAGCAGCCTACAACATGTACCAAAACAACTCTAAAGTTAGTATAATATCCAATATAATATCCAACATGGAAAATATAACGGGATTAAGTCAAGCCAAGAACTATGTGTACAAAATTTTTTTTTTGAAAAGTACATGACAATACATAGACATTGTATCAGGAATCTCTACCTTGAAAAGAGGTATTATATTATGCATAATATTTCTCTACTACCATGACAAAATAGTTATGAATAAAACTTGAGAATAGTTTATGATTTTTGGCCCACTCATATACCGAATCTGTAAAGCTAACAACTAAAATGAGTTAGAAATTAAAAATAAACTTTATTTCAAATATCAAATTGAAACAAAACCCCCAAATAAACTATAAATATGAGAGTAGAGAAGAAGTTACGTCGTATCTACTTTACCTTCTTCTTAACTTGAAATCAAAATCACAAATAGAAAAACAAATCTTCGTCTTCTTCTTCGATTAAAATAAAAAATGGACTACTAAACTGAAAAATCAGAATCTTGTTTTTGACAAGAAAGTTTGAAGTATTATTGGTTAGTTATGAAGTTATCAAAATCTTGCTTCGAATCATAACTTCTTTTGACACGATTCCATGATTCCATAAACAACAACAATAACACAACATCAATAGCAACACGATTGCACAAAAAACCATGGTAAACAATGTTAAAAAATCAACAACAACAACAATATTTTCAGTGGAGAGAGAGAGAGATTTTGGAGAGAGAATGAGATAAGAGGGATGATTTATTTGGCCTGCTAGGGCTTTTGTGTTACCTTGATTTTGGAGAGAGAATGAGACGAGAGGAATGAAGTATTACCGTGTTAATGATGTGTTCCAATGAAATAGAAAATGAATTTGATAAGTTGATGCCAAGTGTACAAAAGGAATAATTTGATTGGTCTATTATTAAAGATTTAGTTAATTACCAATAAGAGCCTTTTGTAGTGTAAAGTGTAATGAAAGAAAAGGTTAGATTAGGGATTTTGGTAGCATGTTCCATTCTTAGTCGGCTGTCGCGCTTCGAAAAAACACAGAGTCGTCACTGAACTCTATTTATCCCGAAGGAAGGGAAGATATCGAGATAACCCCAAAGAAATGGATATGATGATCTTGTGACCAAGAGAAAGGGTACAAAAGTCGGTTATGCGAGGGGAAGATATTAGCACCCACACGTCTGTGGTACTCCACAGGATCCACTCTTGTTTGCTCTGATGTAAGGGTGTGTAAAAATCTATGTCTAAAGCTTAATTATAAGAGGGAATGCATGCGAAAGAAAATACCGAGAAAAGAAGAAATATTTACAAAGTTTTGCTCGCCTAGGCCTGACGACCTAATGCTTACGCATCCCATTAGAGGAATCAGAGCGTTGTAGTTCGGCTAACATATTTTGATTTGTTGTATGTTTATTACCTTGAAACAAGGTTTTGAAAGCAAAGCCAAGCGGCAAAATGAAGTTTGAGTTGGTTGGTGTTTTTTACCTTGAAAAAGGGTTTTTATAGTATTAGAGTGTTTTTATGAGTTTAAAAGAAAAAAAAAAGAAGTTTTAGTTTTAATGTAAATACAAAAGAGAGAGAAAAAGGTCTAAAGGATACTAGCAAAGTAAGCCTAGAGTTGTCATCCAAAGATGATCCTATAGTTCAAGATAAAAGGAAGTATCTACCTATGTTAGAATGCACAGTTTGTAACCTAAGGTCTATCTCAATTTGTTTCCTAAGATTGAATCAAGAAATCCTACATGAGCATGTAAATGTGCAATGAAAAGTAAACACACAAAGCTTGAGGAGTATCCACTCTCTCAAGTAGCACACGCCTAATCGAGGTATCATGTTACTAAGGAAGGAAAGGGAGAGGGATCACGCCTAACCACGATATCGTATCATCGAGGTAGGACAAGGGAGAAGGGGAACCTAACCTTGATATCGAGTCATCAAAGTAGGATAAAGGGAGGCTTAACCAAGATATCAAATCATTGAGGTAAACAAGAATGGGAGAAATAAGTAGTTCTTAACCATGATAGCACGTCATCATGGAAAGAAGAGTAAGGGATGTCGATTCTTAACCAAGATATTATGTTATCTAGGCAAGAGAAGAACGAGAGTGAATCGTCACAAGCGATTAAACACCTAACCAAAATATCACATTATCGAGGTAGGAGATAAAAGGCAATAGTGAGAACACATCGGAGCATCAATGTGCATGACACGCGAGCTAATGACAAAGCGTGGGGGTCGATTGCGAGCCCTTCTCCACTTGACCGACTCGATACAAGAATAGCATGATTCATATCATCAACGTACGACCCGAGCTACGAATGATCTGTGGACTAGATATTATAGGAGTCAATTTCATACCCTTTTTCACTTGCCTTCTTTGAGGACTTATCAATGGAGAATGGGAATTAGATGCCTTCTTCAAGGTCTTTGGCACAAATATTAACAAACATAATGGTAAATAAATAAGCACAAGTAGGAATTTCCTGTTACAAGTCTTTTAAAACAGCATTTCCTGCCTAAGGCAAAGACTCCCAGAACATGCATATATATTCCTACTTCTCATTGAAAGGAAAGCGGTAAATAATCATGCATCTCTATTCCTACTTCTCATGGCATCAGAAAAGCGTTAAACAAAATACTGAAAAATCAACCAGAAATATACCAAACGGATAAGAGTCTGTTATATAACAGGTACAAGTCGAGAATCTCGCAATACTTCGAGCGAGCTAGCATCAACAAACAAACTAAATCAGATACAATATCCATTATTACAATACGAAAATAAATCTCAAGCTATGCGCGCTCCAAGCTAATGTACTGCACCAAATAATGCTGCTACACAAGCAAATAGTAAAAACTGAACAAATGTGTCACGGTGGATCGCCTTCCAAAACATGCACAATGTCACAAGAAGAGTTAGAAAATAATAAGTAATATCAAATGTAACTCAACAATCAACATCACAACTCAAAACGGCATATTATTAGGCATAATGAAAAATTAAACAAGTAATGGAAGCACAAAATCAATTACGGGGCAGCATGTGCATCATAACATGAATCGCACAAAATGTCGGTCCAAAATCAATACAACTCAATACAAATGTGTAAAAAATACCAATACAACTTCAATGATGCATAAACCAACAATTAAAATGTATCCCGAGCACACATAGAAAAACCAGACAATAACTTATGCAGAATTGGAATTAATCGGTAAAACACATCGGAAGCGAGAAAACTCATCATTAATGTTCATGGAATGTTCAATTATGTGCAAGAAAACATCAAATGACAATTAAAGTTGTATGTACATATGGAATTGAAAATGGGACATCACGATACTCATACATGCATTTAAGCAGAAACTTGCATCGGAAACAAGAAAAGTCATTGTAAATGCTCATGAAATAATCAATTATATGCAAGCGAGTATTAAATGGAAATTAAAACGACATATATGCATGAACATAAATTCTGGATAATATGTTTAACGTACATCAGATGCTCAAAAATATTGATTTAAAATCCACCGAAAACAACAAAAATGTCAAGCAAACGTCGAGTAATGAAAAAACACATTTCAGTACTCGCTAAACCACATTTTTGTGAACTTTTATTTAAGAAACAACACCATAACAATTCACAATATCACTTGAAAACTCAGATTAAAATCGGTTAAAATTAATGCCAATAGTTAAGAAATATCCAATTATGAACGAACGTGTACCGAACACAATTTGAAACGCAAAATACAAGGTATTTCATTATTCCAGGCATCAACTCATTAATTCATGAAATAGGAAAACCGAATTTTAATTGTTAAATCTCCATACCGGTATCACCCAATAACCAAAACAATATCGATTATGTGTTAAACAATAATTAAATCATCAATTTCAATGCATTTGATTATTCCGAGCAAGATTACACATGAGTCGATCTACATCAAAAATTAAATTATGAAATTCATTCGGACATATCGGAAACAATTATATGACTCATGAAACATCGCCTAAAATTCTCAAATGAATTATAATGAAATAAATCCCTACCGGTACCAATTTAATCTACCTCAAGTCAAAAATCAATTTACGCGTCGAAATAAATTTAATGTATCATGATTCGATTCCGATATGAAAATCAACAATCACGTATAAGGCACAAAATCAGAATCCAATTTTGACATGTTAATTTGGAATTACAAGCAATTTATCGATTTCGACACATAATACTTCATGAGATTCTCAAACAATTAATCAACTCCACATTTATGCAACATTCACAATTAAAGAAACAATTTAAACCACAACTCTCAAATAAGCACTTATCATAAAATTAATTATCCACACAAGTGCTTAATTCCTTAATTCAACCAATTCCGGATTTATTCAATATCAACAATTTAATTAAAAATTAATTCCAAGAATTAAACAAGATTCAACTCAAGAAATAAAATAATTCAAGAAAAAACACTTATGCACAAAATCACTTATGTAAAAGTGCTTAAATTAAGAGGATGAGAAGTTACCGAATAAAAATTGAAGAGGATGAGAGGAGGATTCCAAATCGGAGAACTCGAAAGAGGGGGAGGCTAGCGGAAGAAACTCGGTGCTACAGAGGGAGAAGATCCGAGTGCGGCGGCGGTTGTAGGAAGGAGGGAGTCGCC